TGCATAGATTTGTAAAATAATGAAGTCATATAGACGTTTTGAAAATTTTAAATTTGGAAAGCCCCCAAAGATTCCTAGAAAAAATTTCATACAACTACTAACTATGGTAGTAATAGTCATGTAAGAGAAAACTTTTCAAAATCAAGAAATTTGTATCCACTGAAAGCAGATAATGTAGCTTATATGTATAAAGATAGATAGGTATGATATTTATATTGTATAGATTTACCACTACCTCCATTTTTGGAATGGTCTGTACAATGGTTTGCTATGAATTGTGGAATACAAAGAGAAGAGTTAGAGTTTGCAGAAAAGAGGAAGACATAAGATCTACATTAAGGAAATGGAGGGACAGGTGTGGGAACTTAGATAGTTACTGAGCAGTGTTACAACCCAATTCACATTGGGTTGCCTGACTGTGGGTCCTTACCCATGTGATGAAGATTGAACTGCAGGTACACACAAAAAGGTCGGTAATGGGGTTATTTACAAGAGAAAAGGGAAATACATAACTCAGGGAAAGGGAGGGAGAGAGAGAGAGACAGTTAAGTTGATTAATGCATCCTAACAGTTCTGCTGACCTGGAACCCCAATAGTATGCTAAAAGCTGGTGAAAAGCCAAGAGACAAGCTGCAAGACACAAGGCCAAGAGGCCCCCCCCCAAAAACATGTCTGATTTTATATCCAAACCTAGTTGCTTCTCTTTGGTGTTGCCGAGATTTGTAGTTTTAGTGTCTGGTGTGGGGGTGGAGCCCACAAAATCTGTATCTGTAGAGTTTGTTCTGGACATCCTTTCCCCCTTACAGCAGAAACCCCAAACCTGTCTGCTCTTAATAGGTTCTGCCATTTGCCACAGTAAGACAAAACATTAAATAGACCTTCAATAGAAAAGAACTTTAATTGGTGTGCAATAAAGAAAAGGGTAAGAGTACATGGAACACCCAAAGTCACCCATGCCCTCATCAGTAAATTCCCAGCCAAACAGGGTTGGACCAAAGCAGGGCCACTGAGTTCCTAAATTAGCTGGCCATTAATCTAAGGTAACTTCTGGTGGGGACCCATCTGAAAGGGGCAGGAGGAGCCAGACAAATTTGGTAGGAAAGGAGCAAAATCAAAACCAAGATAAAGGCTGGCATTGAAAACTTCCCTAAGGGTCTCTCATTTATTTCTATTTCAAGTGTCCACTTTTATGTCCCCCGAACCCCTTGTACAAGTCTGAGGCCAAGAAGCAAGCAGTTTCTTCACATTGCTCTGTTCCCTGTGCCTCCTCCAGTTCTCCTTCTTGGTTCTCCTTCTCTCTGAGTATTTTTGTAGCTAGGTTTTTTTCTCTCTCTCTTCTCTAGCTTCACCACCCTACCCAGTTCTACCTGTCGTTAGGGTAGGGCTGAGAACCCGGAACCTTCCCTTTCCCCAGGGATTAACCTGTTAGAAGTTGGCACACTGATTTCTCTTGAAGTTTTTGAGAAATTATTAAACAAGAAAATGTGCTCAAGGGTGAAGAGTGTAATGGTGTAAAGTTAGGGGAAACAAAGCACTTTTAAAATAATTTTTTACTAATCACCTATTGTTTGTTGCCCAACTTGTTATTTATTTTTCCATGTAAGTAGCATTATTAAAATAGGTTAAAAGTTGTATTTGGAAAAGTGAAATATACACTAAAGCTAGGCAGTACTGTGATATTTGAAAAGTACTGGTTACAGTACCTGACACAGTGCTAAATTTTAATGATGAAAGATAAATCTGTTAAATTCTATACTAACAATTTCAACTGAGATATATATATATTTCTCCAGGCTCTGGAGGGGGTGGCTGGTATTTTATGAAGTCCATAGATCATATGGACAGGAAATTATTTTCCTATATTCTTACACTTATGAAATGTAAGGAGAGTTTCACAGTATATATGAAACTAGGTGAAACAAAGTGTCTGATGTGTTGCAATGCAAAGTGATAATTACAATGAAGCAAAATTTCAAACTGGATTAGCTGTAATTGTTTTTTACTTTCCAAAATGCAGCATCTATTTTTATCACATTCATTAACTTTAAGTATATTCATTCAAAATTGAATTTCTTACCACAATGCTTGGCATATGGCAAGCAGTTTTTAAGTTTCTAGAGTGAGAACTGAGTAAAATGCTGAAGTATTAGAAAAATTCTTATTGCTTTCAGAGATTTGGGTTCTTTTAAAAACATAGAATCTATCAAATAGGTCTATGTTCCCTATCATGACTTATTAAAGATATTTTCTGCAAGCATACAATAATTAAGTCAGCAATCACATTTTTGTGGATTTAAAATTCTTTTTGTATTAGAAAATTAAATCCCTATGTTTCTTGGGAAAGACAGACTTTGTAAAGCAATCTCCAAAGTTGTATTCTGGCATTATTTATTACTCAATGCACATTCTTTGATTTAATTTATATTGACAAATATATGTAACATATATCACAACATTTAATATTCACACACATTTTCTAAATTAAGGTTTACTCACATAAGACTGCTACAGTTTTTGCTACTAAAAGTAATCACAAAATATGCACCAAATATAATTTTATTATCATTTCTATTAACAATAGTAATAAAATGAGATATTTTTATTTATTTAAAGATCTATTTTTGTATGCATAGAAGAACTGGGGTGGAGGCCAGAGGTGGGAAAAGAGGGAATCTGGAGGATTCACCGGAGACAGAGTGGGGAGCAGAACAGGCAGACTGACCAAAATAACACTGCTGAGGAGAGCAGCAGGTAGACAGGTGAGGTCTGCTGAGGTCACCCACCTGGCCAGGGATTGAGCTCATGCTGCAATGGCTGTGGATAGATCCATAGTATTGTGCTTTAACCCCTTGCATCACCAGGCAGGGCCCTAAAATGAGATACTTAAAAAAAAAAAACAAAAAACAAATTAAATACTAAAAAGTAATTACTTTCCTTCTCAGTCTGAGTATTTTCAGCATAGACATTGTTAGGGAAATATAATTAAAACAAAATCTTCTGGCCCAGAAGTCCTCTTTACCAAGGTAGTAGAGAAATAAAACATTTTTATTGTTGACTAAGCTTTAACAAAATTGATGCACATTACAATTAATTAGGAAATGTATTGCAATTATAAAAACACATATCCATTTATGTAGCCAAACAGATAGACCCTTGTTATATACATGTTTTCAAGATAAACTAACTAGTCCTGAAGTAAGAACTTAAGTCATCTTAATTTTCTTGCCTAATTTTATTCAGAAGAAAAAAAAAAGTCCTCATTTGTTAATGACGAGACAGATTTGCAACTTAGAACAATGTGTCTACTAAGTTAGGTTGCTCTCCCATACAAACTTGGTGATATGCTTGCTAACTTCCTTGATATAATTTGCATTTTTGAGATAGATCCTAGTTCCTTGAAAAAGGCATCTATGGACTTAAAACTGACAAAACACTAGCAGGTGTTATCTTCAAAAAGATATGTCAAAGAGGTGAGAACATTAACAACTACATGTTTTCTAAGGAAAATGCAGGAAGAAAGAGAAATCTCTTCTCCCTATGTATAACAGGAAGAATTAAGCTTTTATTATTTAAAAATTGTATGTCTTTACACTTGTTTTGGTTTAACTTTACGGTAGTAAAGTTTACTTATAATTTATGCTTTTTTTTTGAAACGTGGAGAGCTGTTCACTCTGGTCAAATAACCCTGATTAGGGAAAAAATTCACTGCTCTTCTCTGGCTCTCACACAATTCAAAAGTTTTTGAAAAGCAGGGTGGAGGTGGAGATAGGATTGACAGATTTTTGCTGCAGGCGAAGAATGTGGTTCAACCAAAATACATTGTATAAAGTCTAAAAAATTCTGCTGCAAGAACACACCCTGGGATAGTGACTAATAACACCTATCCTACTGTTACAGATCACCTAGTTAGAGCTGTTTAGTTCACATTACTCATTTTCCACTAAATTCTTTTGGTGAAGGACGCCAAGACACATCTCTTACTGGTAAAGCAGAACAGAGGATTTTTCAAGGCATTCCAACTTAAAAGTTCAGACTTAATGAAGAGGGGCGAGTTATGGAACCTGCCTGTATACTTTTTAACGGACCCGTCAAAATTGCAGCATTGAGAGACTCTCTAACTTTTTTTTTTTTTTCGTTTCAGGCACTGGGAATACTGGAATGAGAAATGTACAGGTTTTGTCTTTAAGGGACTCGATATCCTTGGGAGCAACTGAAAACCATTCTAAAGAAATCACTACTACAACTGAAACAAACGTGGAAACATACAGGAGAACGTTCCCGCTTCAGAGAGTGAAAAGTGCGTATTTAGGCTCGAGGGCTCAGCGGCCCCCAAGGAGCTTCCCTTCCCGAGGTCTTACGCCCCGGGATCACCAGCACCCCGCGGGCACAACTTAACATTTTAATCACGCCTCCGCCCCCGCCCTCCAAATTCCTTTCCCGCAGCCGACCAGCCGGGTTGTTCCTTAACTGGAGGCTCCAGCTTATCACCCCGGGCCTGGCCACTTCCCGACCGCTGCCTAGCGAGTCTTCCAAAGTTTCCTGTGACGCCGCCGTCCGCCTCCGGCTCCATCCCGCCTGCACTCCCATCCCAGCTGCCGCGGACACCCGCTAGTGAAAGGCTGGTTACTGGGACCAGGGCACCGGTGCGAACGGGAGGGCCTCGGGAAGCACCCAAGACGGGGAGCGGCCGCGAAGGGCGGTGACCGCAGCTCCACGCAGCCCCTCGCCGCCCCGGGTCAGCGCAGCACCCGCCTTGGGCCAGGATCCCGAGTCCCACCCTACCGGTCAGGGGCCAGTCGGCCGCGCCCCGCCTCCTGGGAGGTGGTGGAGGAGGGGGTAGGGGACTGCGCAGCGCCCGCCTTCCGCTCGTGTCCATTGGCTAAAGCCTCGAGGGTGCCCGGAGACCGGAGTGCAGCCGGATTGGCCGCAGAGGCTCGTGACAGCGGCGTCTATTGGCTGCGGCAGCTCCCGTGATGCGGGGCGGCGAGTGGCTTCGGTGTCTGAGGGGCTTCCAGCTTGTCAGGTTCTAGGTAGGTGCGATTCACACTGCCGGCGGCAGGCGCTGTTGCCCGGGGCAACGCCGGGGTGGCGGCGAAAGAGGAGGGAAGGCGAGCAGGAAACGGGGGCAACACTCTTAGCACGCTGGGGGGCGCCTGGGAATCAGCCCTGCCTGCGGCGGCTGCGCCGAGGGCTCTTCCTCCTCCCTCAGCCACCCCCCTCGCCCGCCCCAGGCCTCGGGTCTCCCGCCCACCCTCCATCTGTGGGGGAGCATTCCAGGTTGGGGCGCTCCTGGGCTCCCCGCCCAGCATGGCGAGGCCCTTTTGCCTCCCATCACCCCGGGACTGGAGGCTGAGGGGGCGGGTGCCGGCGCGAAAGGATTTAGGCTGGCACGACGGCCCCGCCCAGTCGCCGGGTCGTGGGATCGCGGGGTGTGGGCGGTGTAGGGGGCCTTATGGGCACCGCCCATCATGCCCTCACCCCTATTTCTCCGTGTGCTCTGCTCCTGGCACGACCCTTACGTTGGAGCTCTCACCCCAATCCTAGGTGTTTCCCCTAATCCCATCTTTCCCCTGGGGCCCTGTAGTCCCCCTTGACCCAGGCAGCTGCCTCCCTCCTTCCCCCCAGCTCTTTTCCGTGTATCAGCTTCTTCACCTTCTTCGTTTAGCCCCCACTTTCTGACACTGCTCCCGTCTAGGTTTGAGGTGCCTTTCAAGAGCCAGTTAAATGTGAAGCTGCTGTAGCCTGGACAATTTCTGCTATATTCTCCTTTTGCCATTTAGGGTTGGGAGTTGTTTGGGGTCATGTTTGCGTCAGTTTTGTGCCTTAGACTTTCTTAGGATTAACTTGCTGAAAACAAGCTAATTGGGTTAGTATTTGTAGGGTCCCGGGCCCCGGTCCTTCTTGAACAAATTATGGGGTCCATCTTACACAGTTGTCGCTTTTTACTCTGTATTTGTGATTTTGATACCTAGGTTGTGCAGTCCCACTTTAATTTATTGACTGGTACTTTTCTGTTCATTGTTTATAGATAAAACTTTAATGCATAAGAAGTTGAACATAATACCTGGAGAAACAGAGAAATAGTACTATGCCTTTAGAGTGGTTTATATCAAAGTGCCTAAGAAGTTGCCTATGTTTACAACGGTCTGAGCTTCTCAGTCACTTCGACATAAACTGTTGTAAAGGCGTAATACCATTTTTTAAGATAATAAATTTCTCTCAGAGGCGCTGTGCATAAAAGTGTAATAAAAACAAGAAGATCAAAATTATTTTCTAATTCAAGAGATTTTATTCAACCTGTAGAATTGGAATAGAATTAAAATTATTGAAAAATATAATTATTTTGAGAGTTGTAGTACTATTGTATCTATATGACCCTTAAGTCATTTGTGGAGAGCTACCTACTTGGCAGTGAAGGCAAAGGAAGGCTGAATGTATTTTGTTAACCTGGAAATCGTTTCTGCTGGTGGTACTATTATTCCAAGATAGGGTGATGTATTATGAGAATGCAGTAATTTGGAATATATACTTAGAAGTCCTTTTTTAAATTCTCTTCCAAGAAAGACTTTTGGCAAAATTCTTTTTCTGCACAGATGTCTGATAGCCTTTTAAATAAATATCATGCAGATTTATTTAGGGTCCAGTTAATGTAGCTTCTGCACTATCAAAGTTGATGTCAGTATCCTGGAAGATCTCCAGCTGTTATGTAGCTGTAAATCTGGTGTTTGAACTTTTCAGTTTTATCCTTTTAACCTTTCAGTATTTTCTATGAAAAACATTTCAAACAATGCAAGAATTGAATTGGGTAGTGAATACCAACACCTACAAGGCAATACTCAACAAAATGGTTACACAGTCAATTTTAAGGAATGGAGTACAAAAACTATCAGTTTGAAAATCACCATAATTATACACTTTACCAAAATATTGTAAGGTGCTCATTTCTGTAGATGGAAATAGTGTTTATAAAAACTAGTAATTTAATTCCATGAGAATACTATAAAGCAATCTTGAAAGTGAAATATCATTATCTTTGCATATCAAGGCCCAGATGAGTAAATCACATTCTGGTTAAAAGAAAAAGAGGAAATTGAATAACCTTGTTAAATGATAAAAATTTTGTTTTCAAATTGGACTGCTTTGTTCATAAATTATAGTTTTGTACTTGATTTTAAATGAGCTCCTTTTAAAGAAGCTCATGAAACTATCAATTATGTAATATTTTGGTAACAAGCATAATAAATTATATCAATCTTAGCTAGTTGTTTTGAAGTAAGACTGTATTTTTGTAGTGGGAAAGGAAAGCTTACAAATATGGACAGTTCTGATAGAACCTTTTAGTGGAAAATGATGTAATTTTATAGTGATTTAAGGTAGCAGTTTGATAGGACTCAAAATCATCATGGATGTTGTTTCATTGCATTGCTACAGGAATATTTTAATGTAGAACTTCAATTTGTAATAAACAACAAGCATATCAATCCACAGATGTGTAATTTTTCCATACTTAGGAACTTCCTGTACTCTAAGTATTTTAACCCTGCTTTTTAGTTTTAGTATATACTCAGTATGTTTTTCATACTTAGCACATTTATATGACTAAATAGTGAAATTAAGAGCAGTGTCTCAGAATTTATAGATCTTTGGGTTGTCTCATTATTTAATCCTTATCTTACTTGACTTTGGTGTGCTTATAGAAGGTAATGTATACACATCATTGATACATGAGAGGGAACAAGGTGATCATACATTTTGAATTCCCAAAAGAATAAGGCTTTTAGATATTTTTAAATCAAAGCACAGATTTTTTTTTCCTTCCCCTTTCCTCCCACCTTTTTCTTCTTATTATTATAAAAGTAAAATGCTTTAAAGTCAATTCAGAAAACTGTACAATAGAAAAGTCGACAATAGTTGTATATATATATATATACATTTAAAAAAAAAAGATTTATTTATTTATGCGTATAGAACTGGGGTACAGGCCAGAGGTGCAGGGGCAGTGCGAGGACTCTCCAGAGACAGAGTGGGGAGCAGAACAGGCAGATTGACAGAGCACAACACTACTGAGGGAGCAGTGGGTGAGAGGTCTGCCAAGCCATGTGGATCATCCCTGGGGCCAGAGATCCAACCTGCTTGGAAGCAGCTGTGCCCAGCTTTGCAGTGCTGCTCTCCAACAGTTGTGCCACTAGGGAGGGCTAAGGCATGTCTACATTTGCATCTAAATTTGTAAGAGCTCCTAAACATCTTACTTCGTTACCCTAAATTAGAAGAGGACTTCAAATCTGGAGGGAAAATGGAAATTAGTACAGGACAGATTAGAGTCATAACAAAAGAATCATACCCGAGCAATTCTTTCTTATTTTTAGTAAATGTATCTCTATTTTCCATATGAAATTGCTTTGTGACTGACTAAATATGGGGCCTCCAAGAGTTTTTGTAAGAATTCAAAATATCTAGTTAAGATGAAGTTTACCTAGCATCTTGCTATAACATTTTTCAGATTTTTTTCCATTAAGTGTTACTACAGTCTTAACTTTTGTGAATTAAGTGTTATATATGAGTTAGAATTATTTCTCAAATATTCATATACTTACAAATTGTAAATCAAATTTTAATGTTTGCATCATCTACTGCTTGATAGATTTCATATTGACTCCTTCCTTTGAAGGTTTTAATTAAAATTGTAGACATTTTAATGTAGGTGTTTCTTGCCAGGTCACAAGGTAACTTATTTTCGAGTCAGATAATCTGGGTTTATGTCAGAATTCAGGATTTTTTTTGTTGGATTTTGGGCATATTATTTAATCTCTTTGAACCATAGCTTCATCCTTTAGAAAACTTGTTCCATTGATAAAATTGTTCCCAAGGTTGTTTGAAAGAAGAAATAAGGCAAGCTAGGTAAAATGCCTGAATATAGTAAGTGCTCAGCTTCCATGGTAACTTTTGTTTACTTCTTCTAGTATTACTTTTTTGTTATAACAGCCTAAAAGTCCCTAAATTTTAGACTTAGGAAATGAAAGTAATGTACATTAAATTTACTTAAAGTAAATCATGCGTGTTATGCAAAGCAAATAATTAGAAATATGTCAGATTATCTGTACTTTTATGTTTTTTGTCGTTACTGTCTCAGAAGGGATGTCACAAATATATATATATATACATATTTTAAAGATTTATTTATTTTGTTCATACAGAACTGGGGTACAGGCCAGAGATGTGGAGGGTTAGAGAATTCACCAGGGACAGAGTTGGAGCAGAACAGGCAGATCCAGAAGTACACTGCTGAGGGGAGCAGCGGGCAGGTCAGGAGAGGTCTGCCATTCCATGTGGTCACCTCTGGGGCAGGCGGGGATCGAACTCATGTGGAAGTGGCTTTAGCTTCTCAGTGCTGTGCTTTAACCTGCTGCTCCACCAGGGAGGGCCGTCACAAATATATTTTAAATGGTTTCAGCTTCAAAAATATGTCCAGTTTGTCTGAATTCCTGGATTATTTTTATTTCACCTTGGATTATCATCTGTTCTTGGATGGTTCCTTAAATTCCTTTTATTTAAAACCACAAATATTTGCTTAAATAAAGAACATCGAAATGCTACTTCATTAAATCTTTAACTAGTGTTTCACCTTAAACCATTTATCAAATCTGTTCAAATCTTAAACCTATTGGTAAATTAGAAAAGAAACCTCACTCTCTTAGTTGAATGTTATTATAGTTCCTACTATTGTATGTGATTATTTTCAGAGTAATAGTTTATAAAGATATAGCAAGTTTAGAATGTGTCTTCAATAAGTATAAGGTTCTAATTCTTAAAGAATACATACCAGTTTAAATGCACACACTTAATGGCTGTCATGATGTAAGCCTGGAACTCAGTGAAGGACTAGGTGTTGAACTATATAGTCCTTGGGATCTCAACCAACAATAAAACAAAATTTTTGATCAAAGTCTGCTTCTCAGTAGTATTTTCCCACCCAGGATATTTACATTTATGATATAGCCTAATGTCCAGTTTTGTTGCATGCCTTCTGTAA